AGGCCTTCTCCAGTTCCTCTCTGAGGCCCTGGTATTTCTCCAGTTTCTCATGCTCCTTATTTTTCCAGCTTTCTCCAGCCATTGGTAGGATTTCCTGATATCAGCCACTTCAGTTATTTGTCGGTGGTACATCCCATGTAGGGGCTTGTCCTCCCATGATGGTACCTCCAGCACCTCGTCCTCTGTTCCCCATTGTCTGAGACATTCGCTGAGCACATCGTCTGTTGAGGCTTTGTCCTTGATGTATTTATGGATCTTGGATGTTTCATCCTGGACAGTGGCTCTCACACTCACTAGTCCTCTGCCTCCTTCCTTACGGCTCGTGTACAGTCTCAGGGTGCTGGATTTGGGGTGGAACCCTCCATGCATGGTTAGTAGCTTCCGAGTCTTAACATCCGTGGCCTTCATCTCTTCCATTGGCCAGCTAATTATTCCTGCAGGGTATCTGATTACTGGTAAGGCATAGCTGTTTATTGCATTAAGGCAAGTCCTGGCAAGATCCGTATGGATCCGTATGGATCTTGTTCTTGCCATTGAGCTGGCTTCTCAGGACTTGCCTTATTCGTTGGAGGTATTTGGCTGTGGCTCCTTTCCTTGTGACCTCATCGAGGTTGCCATTTGCTTGTGGTATTCCCAGGTACTTGTAACTGTCCTCAATGTTTGCTATTGTTCCTTCTGGGAGTGAGACCTCTTCTGTGTGGATGACCTTCCCTCTCTTTGTAACCATCTGACCACACTTCTCTAGTGGTGCCTGTGGTCATCGGGGCCCTCGGGGCAGTCATCCCCAAACTGGAGCAGTGGCTCAAACAGATCCCAGGAACAACATCAGACATCTCAGTCCAGAAATGTGCAGTTCTATGCACAGCCAAGATACTGGAGGAGAACCCTCAAGCTCCCAGGCCTCTGGTAGAGGACCCGCGCTCAGAGGATGAAAGAGACCACCCGCGGAGGGTGAGAAGGGAATTTTACTTTATTTTATATATATACATATGTATATCAAGAGTACCAAGAGAGATATAAACTCTCTCTGTCAGTACGCAGACCTGCTGCCATGACAGCCAACAACACCTCCATTAACCCTAAAAGCAGAGAATGCCCTGCACTGTAGTTATCGTCATAGTTACATTGTAGCGATTGGCTGTCCTGGGTCACACTGACTTATAGTCAGGCTAACATGAGTCATTTGTGATTGGAAACACATAAACTAATACAGAACATGGAGCAGGTTACAAAGAACAAAAGAAATTGAGGAAATTCAGATATTTCAACAAGAATTAGTGTTCAAAACTTCACTGATGAAGAAAAAATTAGCTTACCTGCAATGAACCACCATAGGACCAGCATCTGGTGAATTATATGCTCTAGCTCTATGAAGAAAGGCCAGTGCTGTGGTAGGTTGCTCAGGCACTCCATGATCAGGCCAGGCCAGAAACTGCAACTGTTGCACTTCTCGTTTCTCAGATGATTCATTCTGTTTACAGCACAGAGATATTCGCTTTTGATGTCAAGTTAAAAAGGAGACTTAGCTTGTTCTAAGTCTACATTTATTTGAATATTGCACACATGAAGTTTATAGAAATGTACAATATACTCTACAGTAACAGCATAATGGGTTTTAGTGATAATTTGTTGCAAACCCAGGTTATTCTGTTTGTAATCAAGACATACTGATTTGGTTGAAAATGTTTTTTTATCACATGACCCTTTTCGGCTTTTCTGCTGCTCAGGCCTAATGACAATAGGTCTGAGCCTATTGTCATTAGGTCTGAGCCTAATGACAATATTGTACTGTTGTACTGTTGTCATTATTGTACTATTGAACAACCCTGCACTGTTGTTCCAGTGAAAAATGGAACAACAGTGCAGGAATTGTGCAGTGAATACTACAAATCAATGACTTTCCTTAGATTAAAAACTTTTCTAACTAATTTGAATAATTAACTCAGCTTAATGTACTGTTTGATAATTAGGATCAATTGGAATGTACATGTTATTGAATTGAAATTACTTTTTTGTAAGGTGCCTTGAGATGACACTAGTGAATTAGTGCTATATATATAAACCAAATTGAATATTCTTTAACCATATCCAATCATTTTTATTTTTAATTTGTTTTTTATTGGAAATGACGTTTTTATGAAGTGACTTTTGGAAGTCATGCTCCTCGTCAAGAAAAGACGACAAAATATTCAAACTTAAAATACATAAAATGCGTTTACCTTGTAAAGGCTGAATATTCGTGTGACATAAGTTGCCAGTTCCAAAGTTTCCAGTATGGTCACTTGAATCGTTCCATATGTCTCTGTACCACGACTAGGCCAGTATTGGTCACACTTAACCTGCATACAGAGGATAATGAAAAGCAAGCACACATTTTGTCTTATATCAACAACTGTCATTTAAAAACAGTCAATGGCAAACTGCAAAACATCTATATAAAAAGAAGAAGCAGAACTATTTGTACTGTGTTGCTTGCAGTGCATTTAAGTCAGTTGTTGCTAAGCTAAAGACACAATATCCCAGTGATTTGTTGCAAAATCTGGTAATTTTATTCATGCCCCACTCTCTGCAACATGTCCAACATTTCAATAGCTACACCACAAGAGAAACAGAAGTTAGCTTCCGAATGTAGCTTCTAATTCGGAAAATAGCTGAAGGGCGATTACTCTTAATTTTTCACTATCTTGATTTTTTTTTTATGTGTTGTATTTTAAAACCTACAACACCCAGGCATTTCAAACCTAACTAAATTATTCTGCACTAATAGCAGAATAAATAAAACATTTATGAAATCTTCTTATTGATTTGTGAAATTCCTAAAAGTTACAGGATGGTAGCCCTCGAGGACTGGAGTTAGTGACCCTGGTCTAGAGCTTTGCACAAAACACATTACACAATGAGAAAGATTGTTGAAATTTAATAAAGGCCATGTAATAACTCTTGTATGTGTTCTACTTATTCAGGCAAAAAGCACTGAATGGACATAGTTTTCCTGTGGATAACTGATGACATGCTGAACACGAGGAAAAAAACAAACAAGAAGAAAAAACACAAAGAACATGCTGTACTTTGGGTTTTAAAAGTCAAAGAACGGCATGTAAGCACGTTACTGTTCTGCTTAAAATCAAAACACAAGAAGCTCACCCTTGACTTCTCCTCCAAACGGGTCATCATAACAATTGTGCAGCTCCTCTGCTCCCACACCATCCTCCAGAAATCACAAATTGTCTCTGGCAGTGGCCCTTGTGTGGCGATATAAGCATTCTGTTTCCTATAGCCATCTATATAGTTGGCATTAATGTAGTTGCTCCCTGGAATTCCTGGAAGAGAAAATAGGAAGGACCACATTGTAAGAAGCATCAATAGTTTAAAAATTTCTTTTGACTTTTTTAATGACTTGCTTTCTATTTCTATCACTGTCATGCAGTTGAAAGCAGATATTTACACTTTAATATCTTTAAGCTTTAAAATTTAAAACCATGTTTCTTACCATTCACCAGTGTGAGGACGACCCTGGAGTGGTCATAAGCAATAACATTTGCATAGCGATTCTTAGATCTGTTGATCTCAAGATTAGAATGCTCCCAGGTGAGCTGCTGTCCTGGATCAATAGTCTGAAGCACAAAAAATGGGAAGACTTGCATATGTACACATGTTTAGATAAGTTGTGCTAGCTCTCACCCATATTTCTATGTCTTGTGGAAATTACATCCTTGTATTTCCTCTTAAATTGTATTAAATTTTGTACTTTCTATTAACTCCTCATTTAACTTGTTCCGTAATATTACACCATGAATTGACATACAAAAGCTCTTTCATGTTGTGCATGTACTACAAATCCTTAAGTTTGAGTAACCCCTTAATCTATATCCTCTCTGTGTGCTCAAATGGCAGTTTTTTGATGCCATAAACATAATTTGACCAATTTTAAATTCCACCAGATCTTCAAATTTAGGAATTCTACATTTTAAGAATAATGGGTTTGTGGGTTCATAAAAATTGACATTATTCTAAAGGTTGTAAAGAACTTTTGTAATTAATTCCCCACACCAGAATATGAAGTGATTAGATTCAGAATATGTCTAGCTTTAGCCAGGACTGATATGTTTCTGCACAGTTTATTCTGTAAATGTTCAATATGAGATTTAGAACTAATTTTGTCATCAATTATTGTACAGAAAACATATTCATGTATACCCTTTGTAGAGTCAAAGGGGATACTCTGATCTTGAATGTGAGGTTTTTGGTAACACTTTCCAAAAACCATGATTTTAGTCTTGTCCAGACTTAGTGATAATTTATTATTGTCAAACCATTTCTTTAATTTACTGATTTCTGAGCCGATTATGGAAAGAAGTTGTAAGTTTTCACCAGAGACTAGAATGTTTGTGTCGTCAGCAAATAACACAAATTGTAATTCATTAGACACTTTGCTTATGTTGTTTATATAAAAGTTAAATAAAACTGTTTCCATACTGACCCTTGAGGTACCGGACACATAATCTCAAGACAATCAGATTCAGTATCTCCCATCTTTACAAATTGTTTTCTGCTCTTTAAATAACTCCTCATTCAGTTCAAAGTTCCAATAATGTTCTAATTTTTCAATTAAGATATCATGATTTAGACATGCCCTCAATTACCCTCTGTTTTCATGTCGAGATCATCACAGTCAGTGGATGCTTTACTTTTATTCACAATATCAATGATTTTGTGACGATCTGTGTTTTCTGTGTTACTTTTCAGTTTTTTCTGTGTTTATTTAGTTCTGTTCCCCTGTGAGTCTCTGTCTTCCCTGTTGATTGTTCCCAGCTGTGTCCAGTTCCCCGATTACCTTCCCAGCGTATTTAACCCCACCTGTTGTTTCTGTCCTTCGTCAGGTTCTCGTCATATGTGCGTCGCTCTTATGGCTGTCTGTTTTGCTGCACCCTCTGTCTTCCCCTGTGCAACCTGTGTTGGTTTCGGTTCAGTTGTGGATTATTCATCATTAAACCCACTTCCCTATGACATCCTGGCAAATCATGACAGATTTATTTCTCTTGTATGGGGTTAAGGGACATTAAACTTGCATTACTCTCAAAATAATTTAAATAAGTTACTATTTTTATCACAGGTATTTTTTCTGCTAAGTGTGGGTCCTATATTCACAAAATAAATATT